GATAAGGACAATGACTACCTCCACGTTCGTTCTATTAATTCTAAATTTTTAACGGAGGAAGTAGAAGGTTGTGGTGTATTTTCATCTCCCTCTTTTTATTTTTCCTTCTACCTTGAGTTCTCTTTATGTGCTCCTAACTTTTTCTTTGTAGGGATAAATGTGCTTGCTATTAAGCCCTATATAGTGCTTAATGAAATGTTTGCAGGAGCGTTTGATAAGTTACTCAAGGCATTGAATTCTTCCGATTGAGAGAAGGAGTATGGTCGAGCGGAACCTTGATAAACTAGCGCTTTGCGGGAGGCAACCCGTATTTTGTTGCTTTTTATTTAGTTTTTTTTATTTGTTTGTGTGTTTTCTTTTTGTTTTGTTTTAGAGAGGTAGAGGAGAGTATATCTTATATTTGTGGGAGTGTGATTTAATGCAGAGATACTAGAAAAGTTGAGAAAAGATCGAAGGGCTAAAGGAATCCCGGGGCAATTAGCAGCAGCAAGCTTCCCCGTCAAATCAGTAGCACGGGCCCGATCGGGCGCTCGTACGCGTCATCAAACTTAGTCAACTTTGACAGGCCATAACTTTTGCGTTTCTTATCTGATTTTTGCGTGTGACCTGTCGTTGTAAAGCTCTTCAAGTCTAGTTTCCAATGCAATTAGAATCACTGTATTATCATTTATATATCAAAAGTTATGATCAGAATAGTGCACCTGACTCAAATTTAAACTTTTTCCCACTAACACTTTGTTTCTTTCTTGCCCAATTTTGTTCCAAAGAGATGCATTGCAATCCTCGAGGCTTTGGTGACATTGATGTGGTGATGATGAAGAGTAGTTACCTTGACTTCTAGCTTCCCTTTAAGACAATGAGGACATTGTCTGATTTAGCTTGGGGGGAGGTTCTTGTGTTCGTATGGTACATCTTTCACTCTCTCTCTTCTCTTTTTATTTTTATTTTTCTTAGTATAGATTTTATTACTTTCTTAGGTTAGTTTTGTTCCAATGAATTATAAATTATGCTTCCCTGTGCCCCTTACTTGAGAACATTGTTTTGATTCTTGGTATTTGATGATAAGCATTGTGGATTAGTTGATCATGATTTGATGTTTGATTGCCTTGAAACCTTAGCATGCGTCAATTTTGTCCAACTGCTTGTGAATATAGTGCTTGACTAGTTGATTTGGTAAGGAATGTGTGATAGTTCCATAGTTCCTGGTATGTCAATGAATTTGAGTATTGGTTTGCAACTATAAGTAATGTTTATATGATTCATTATTATGCACATTGTGGAGGACGAAGACATTTGTTATTTTAGGTAGCCTCCAGATATTGTAGATACATTTGTTCCCTTCTTGCTACCTATGTTGTTGCCTTGACTTTTTGTTGTTTTATTAGCCAAATTACAAGCCTATTTTGCCCCATTGGTTACTAGTCCCAAGCTTGGCTTGAAAGCTTGGGGGAGCTATTAGTGAGTGAGGTGAGGGAGCTTGTAGTGTGCTTATTATTTGTACAACTGGGGTGGGCTTTTGAGAAGTTGTTTTATTGTTATTCATGTTTATTTTTGATGAGTTTGAGAGTTATATTTTCTTGAAAAAATAAAGCATGATATTATGAAAATAAAAGAGAAGTTCAAAGAAAAAAGATATGAAAAAAATAAGTGAACTTCGAAAGAAAGTGTTCAATGTTCAAATGTTCTAGTTGGAGGTCGATCAAAAGAAAAAAATTTGAGCCTCAATGAAAAATTAAAGTTTGGAAATAAAGTTTGTTTATTCACTCTACTTCTTCATTATTATATTTTCATGAGTGAAATTGTAAGTGTTGGGATTATTTATTATGATTGGAGTATATTTGGTTGATGTTAGAGTTGGTTATGTAGGAGATGTTGATCATTATTTATTTTGATCATGTTTATTAGGATTTGCTCCCTTAAGCATAGCTTTACTCTCACTTGTTCCCAAATGATTCCTACCCTTTACCCTAGCCTTACATTACAAGTTTTAAAGACCTTCCGACCTTTGTGCATAGAATTGTATGAATGTGAAAGTGTTGTTTATCAATGCAAGTTATGATTTGACATATTTCGAGTCGACTATTAGGTTGAGCGTTCATTGTTTTATACACACGAGAGTGTGAGTTGGGAGGGCATTGTTCACATAAAGGGGTTGGATGGAGAGCGATCGAGTACATCTTTTACTCGCCACAAAAATGAGAGTTGAGTGTATGAGCACTAGTCTTGAATTCTATATGCTCTTGTGGTTTGCTTTATTTGACAATTGTTAGGGAAGATTAGTAATTAGATGGATTTGATTAATAGACTTTGAAGCATGTTTATTTGATTTACCCTGGATCGTTTGTGCTTGATTTTTACTTTTTGGGGTGAAGCATATTTATTAATTCATTGATGAGATCTTTGCTTAGGGACAAGCAAAGGTTTGGCTTGGGGGAGTTTGATGTGTCTATTTTATATAGTGTTTTATCCCCGTCTCTTGGTTGTTATTAGTAGTGTTTTTGGCTCTTTCGGGCCACTTTTATTACTAATTTGTGTGTTCTAGTGTTTTCGTAGTTCTAGTTGTATTTTACAGGAAATTGCACTCTTGGAGCATTTTCCCGGGCTTTATGGATCGACTACGAAAGCTAGAAGGACACGACCACTCTTGAAGCCCAGGATCGGTGAGAGCCGGTGATTAAGGGCTCGGTATGTGATACCGGGGCTATTGGATCAATTAATCAAGACCCGATGAGGAAATCCAGATTGGGCCGAGGAATCGAGCCCAATCGAAATCCAAGCCTTAGAGAAGAAGGCGGGCCCGATCGGGCAAGCATACGCCCGATCGGGCGAGTGCACGCAAAAGCAAGCCTCAGGAAGAAGCGCGCCCGATCGGGTGAGCGTAGGCTCGATCGGGCGCAGCATACCAAGCAAGGGCAGAGTAAAAAAAGGCGGGCCCGATTGGGCGACCCTTCGTCCGATCGGGCGCGTGTTTTTCTTAGTAGCTGATTAGTTTAGTTTTAATTCTTGTTTTAGGAAAGGTTTAAATACGATTATGTACGGAATTATTAGTTGACCTTCTTTCTTAGACTTTCTCTCTCTACTTAGTATTTTTCTCTCTCTTAAAATCTCTCTAAAATTTTGTTCTTAATACTTCCTTTAATTCCAGATTTAATTTTTGGTACAATTTCTTCTCTTTTAATTTCAGCTATTTTAATTGCTTTCTTGATTATGCTTTTAATTATTTACTTGATTGGCTTAGTTATGATGATTAGTGAGTAGTTTCATTCTAGGGTTTATGGGGATCCATAATTAATATGAAGGGATAGTTTGTTATTATTGATTATTGATATTGCATGATAATTTCCTATTGAATTGTTTTAATTCTTTGCAATTAGATTATGAATCGAGCAGATGTAATTTGATTGTGAATGTTTAGCAATATTGAATTGATGAATCGAGCAGATGTTGATTTAATATTAAAGGCTAATTTTAATAGGAACTTAGGTCTAGTAAATTGCGAGAGCCTGTTAGATCTATGTTGATTAATAAATTGCGAGAGCCTGTTAATCATGTTATCTGTGCACTGTTAATTATTAATTACTTCGTTCTATCCTGGCATATTAATTATTGGTGAACCTGTGACCCTAGGCTCCCTTATTGTTGTTTCTTTTCTCCCTAAACTTATTCTTCGTAGTATAGAATTCATACCTAAAATTATTGGTTACTTAGATAATTTAGATTATAATAATTAATTAGAATTAAAAAGACCTGTTTCCCTGTGGAGTTCGACCCTACTTCCCTATCTACTTTAGTTAGAGATTTAGGTAATTATTTTTGATTAGGGGATACGACTTTACCCTGTCACCATGAAGGACATGACACCCCCCAGGCTAGAGCTGATTCTGGGATTTTTGACAAAAGTCAAGTTCAGGGGAGTCGCCCTGAGGTGAAAGATAAATATGGGACGTGGATGTTGGTTCAGAAACCAGTGAGGAAGACCCAAGTAAAGGGTAAAGGTGAAATTAGTAAGAGGGTTCAAGAAGGCAACAAGAATAGACAAGATGTCCAAGTTCAAAGAGATAACACTGGAAATAAACTAAGCCAGGGTGACAAGCAGAAATCGACCAATAAGCTAGGAGGGTCGAGGTTTGCAGTGTTAGGAACAGGTGATGATGTGGAAGAGGGTGAAACCTCTAACCACCATGGTTCATTAACTAAGGATGGGGTGAGAAATCGTGAAGACATATTGCCAACTGGCAAAGGAGAAAGTTTAGGAGAAAGTGAAAAAGAAGAGGGAAGTGTTGAGATAAACATGGAAGAAAATAAAAAAGATGAGGAAAATATGGAAGGAGATCTTTCTGGGATAAATGAGGATAATTCTAATATGGAAAAGGATGTGATTATGGAACAAAATCCGAGTGATTTGGAGGAGAATAATGTTGGAAAAGATTCTCATGTAGATTTAGTGAATGATAGAATTTTGAATAACAATAAAATCCTAGGAAATAATTCTAAGCAAAATAATGGCAATATTATCTTACCTAATTTAAATAAAAAATTAGGAAAAGATAATAGACTGCCTTTGACTTCGAAAAATAAGTTTTCTATTGCTTCGAAGTCAAATTTTAAGAAATCAGATTCAGCCTCTCCGTACTCTAAATTAATTGGAGCTAAGGGTAAGGAAAATCGTCTGACTTCCAACCTTGAAGATCCTCAGCATGTTCCCAAACCAAGTGCCTGTGACGATGGAGTTGCAAATCCCTCCGAGTTTCGAGATGTTCGTAGACTACCAAACGGAGGGACCTTACTTGATAGTGGTACACCCACTGGCGAACAAGGCAACAATTCAATTGGACACCTATGTTCAACCGGAGCACAACCCTCCAAGCATGATGGAGAACTTTACCCTGCCAATGGAGATAGAGGGGCCAATGAAGGCACTTTGACAAGCTTTCCTAAGCTTGATGTCTAACGTTCCTCTGAACGTCTGTGATAGGTACCCCAATTTTCCGAATTTTAATATGTCTATTAAAATTTTGTGTTGGAATGTACAAGGTGTTGGGAATAAATTGTCTATCATTAAGGAACTTGTTAGAATTAATGATCCGACAATATTAGTGCTAGTTGAGACTCATATGAGTGGTGATAATGCTCAGCAAATTTGCAATAAAACTGGTTTCTCGGGTCAGCGTCGAGTTGAAGCTCAAGGTTTTAGTGGTGGGATTTGGTTATTCTGGAGGATGGAAAAAATTGCGGTGACAGTGTATGGAGAACATTCTCAACATCTTACTGTCGAGCTAAAAAAGGATGGCGGAGACCCCTGGCTGTTCTCTGCTATATACGCTAGTCCTGGAAGTAGTTTGAGAAATTACCTGTGGGCAGAATTGGAAAAAATCAAAGATGACTACTCGGGACCTTGGTTGTTAGTAGGCGATTTTAATGAGACTTCGAGTATGGAAGAAAGAAACGGTGTTGGTGGAACCGAAATGCAGAGGAGATGCAGAGACTTTGCAAATTGGATTGAAAACACAGAATTAATTGATCTTGGGTGCTCGGGTCCAGCTCATACCTGGTTTCGAGGCCTGTCCCATGAGACATTCAAATCAGCCCGACTTGATAGAGGATTAGTGAATGAAGCCTGGAGATTGAGGTTCGATGAAGGTGCAGTTCGCAATTTGCCAAAATCAGCCTCGGATCACTGCCCAATCCTAATTAGTACTTCGGGTTTCGCTCCTATCCCAAAGATTCTAAGACCTTTTAGGTTCCAAGCAGCTTGGCTTACCCATGAGAAATTTGAGGAGTTTGTGTACTCGAACTGGAGGAGTGATGCCCCTGTTGTTCTCTTTTTGAAAGAATTTGCGGACAAGTTGGATAGATGGAATAAAGAGGAGTTCTACAATATTTTTAGAAAAAAATCTGAGTTATGGGCTCGACTTGAAGGAATCCAATCTGAGTTGTCTAAGGGTAGTAACCCGTACCTCATAACCCTTGAAAATCAATTGCGACAACAGATGGAAGAAGTTCTAAGTGTAGAGGAACTCCTCTGGTTTCAGAAATCAAGAGTAGATTCGATATGTGATGGTGACCGAAATACCCGTTACTTCCGACAGTCATCAGAACAAGAAAAAATAGGATCGAAACTCTTAGAGGCAGTGATGGTGAATGGAAAACTGATCCAAGTGAAGTCCAAGGCCTGATCCTCGAGTACTGGAAAGGACTATTTCAAGAAGATCAGCAAACTAAAGAGCAAGTGTAGCTTCTTCATGATTATTTCCCAGAAATTTCAGTGTCGGATATGGAGACTTTGTCTAGGCCTTTCAGTGCAAGTGAAGTGCAATTAGCACTATCAAGTATGAAGCCATATAAAGCTCCTGGTCCAGATGGTTTTCAACCGATATTTTATCAGAAATTTTGGGATCTTGTAAGTCCTAATCTGGTGAAATTGGTGAAGAATGTGTTAGAAGGTCGTGAGTTTCCAGAAGGGTTGAATGATGCTTTCCTAGTGTTAATTCCTAAGATTGATACTCCGAAGAAAGCAAACCAATTTAGGCCGATTGGACTTTGTAACATCACCTATAAGATAGTGACAAAATTCATTGTTAATCGGCTCAAGCTCGTACTCCCTGCTCTAATTTCTCCTACTCAATGCTCTTTTGTCCCAGAAAGGCAAATAACTGACAATATAATTATCGTCCAAGAAAGGCTCCATAGTATGAGGCACAAACAAGGAAAAGTGGGATATATGGCAGTGAAAATTGATTTCGAAAAAGCCTATGATAGGCTTAGATGGAGTTTCATCAGAGATTCTCTGCTAGAGCTTAGATTGCCTCAATTGATAGTCGATTTGACCATGCAATGTATTACTTCAGCCAAGTTAAAAATTTTGTGGAATGGTGAACCCATGGAAGCGTTCATGCCAACTCGTGGGATTAGACAAGGAGACCCTCTTTCTCCGTATATCTATGTAATTTGTATGGAGAGATTGGCTCATATGATTGATAAAGAGGTGAAACTAGGAGGGTGGAAACCAATTCGTGCAAGTCGAAATGGGCCTTCGATTTCAAACCTTGCCTTTGCTGACGATCTAATCTTATTTTGTGAAGCCTCGACAGAGCAAGCGCAAATTATGAAACATTGTTTGGAGAAATTTTGTGCTGCCTCAGGGAGTAAGGTTAGTATTGAAAAATCAAAGATTTATTTTTCAAACAATACTAACTTCGACACAAGAGATAGAGTAAGTGAATGTTTGGGCATGGAGCAAACTGAGAATTTTGGGAAATATTTGGGAGTACCTACAATCAATGGTCGTACCTCTAAGCGAGAGTACCAATATTTGGTTGAAAAATTCGATGGAAAACTAGCAGGATGGAAGACCAAGACTCTTTCAATAGCTGGTCGAGCAACGCTAGTTCACTCCACCCTAAGTACGATCCCCTCGTACACTTTACAATCGGTAAAGTTGCCTAGATCAACCTGTGATGAAATCGACATGAGGAATAGGAACTTTCTTTGGGGTGAAAGTGAAAACAAGAGAAAGGTCCATCTGATTTCGTGGCAGAAAATCACTCGACCAAAAGCTGAAGGTGGTCTGGGGTTTAATTCAATGAGAGATGCCAATAAAGCTTTCCTTGCTAAATTGGGATGGCGATTGTTAGCTGAGCCCAATGCACTATGGTCGAGAGTTGTAAGAGCTATATATTGCGATAGCCCCTGTGACCTCGACATGTTCAAAGAAAAAGTCAATGCTTCGAGTACTTGGAATAGTATTATGAGCAGCGTGGACATTATAAGGAAGGGAGTGAATATGGTTGTTGGGAATGGATCTCGAACCTTTTTCTAGCATCATAGATGGGCTACTTCCCAACCTCTATTGGAGTTGGTTAATACACTACAATAAAATAAAGCAAAGGTAACAGTGCAAAACCATTGCCTAATATAAAAAAAATGTTGCCTTGTAGCTAAGGCAACACATATGAGGCGTAATTTATGCCCCCGTTGTCTATTCATAAAGCAACATATTTTTATTCAAAGGCAACAATTTTGAAAGCCAAGGTAAAATGATACATAAGGCAACACTTTTACTAAGACAACAAATGAAAAATGTTGCTATCTAAGGAGATAATTCAAAAATGTTTCTAAATGTTGTCACTCCCAAGCATTTAGTAGTTGGTAGGGCTCAAACTTGTGACCTCAAAGTCACAAGGTGATGTCCCCACCAACTCCACCGAATATATATATGTGTATATATATATATATATATATATATATATATATATATATATATATAAATGGGATCATATGAGACCACATCCCTTATGTGAGAACCCTATTATATGTGAGGAATAATTATAACTGTTGGATCAATTACATCCGACGGCCACAATTAAATCCCGGTCAAACAAAACTACTGTGTTTTTTCTCTCTTCTCCTTCCTCTTTCACGCATTATTTCCTCTCTCCTCACAATTTCACTATTTTCTACTCTCTTTCTCTCTGCTTTTCTCTCTGATTTCTCATCACTACTCCTCCAATCTTCATCAATTGTTTTTCAAGGTGAGTTTATTGTTTATATTTTCGTGTTCATCAATTAATTTTAGGTCACATTCAGTTACATTTGTTGATTTTCATTTTGATTTTCGTTTGATTTTCGTTGATTTCAGCTCACATTGTTTATCAATTTCTGTCGATAATGTTTTACTTTGTTTTTTTCATTGATTTCAGTTTTATTTTCGTTTTTTTGAGTAGTTATCAAGTTGATTTTGCTTATTTTCGTTATTATTCAGTTTTTTCGTTTTTTTGGAAACCTACAATTCACTGATAATTTGTGCTATTATGTTCATTTTAGCTTGATTTTAGGTATTTTAATTATTTTGTGTATTTTAATTTGATTTTCGGTTTACTTTAGTTCTCAATTATGTTTTATTTTCTGGTTTTATCTTATTTTTTGTTTGATTATAGCTTTATTTGAGTAATTATTAGTTGATTTTAGTTTTCATTTTGCTTCATATGAGTAATTATCTTACATTTTCTTTGTTTTTTTTGGAAACCTAGAAGTAATTGCTATGGATTCTGCAAATGTTCCTCAAGAAAATACAATGTATGTGTTTCTGCTCATTTTATTTTTATTATTTGAGTTATTATTATTTTTGTTGTTGTTGTAGATTAGTTGATTAGTTGTATTACTTGTATGGGAGTTCTTGTAGATTAGTTGATAACTTGTTCATTTTATGTTTTGCTGTTCATTTATGAAATATTAGATTTTTAATTGACAGTTACAAGCAATAAAAAGTTGTAGATTATGCTGGGAAGTAATTTTCAATAAATCTAAAACTGCCACAGGTTAATACTTGTATGTGAAAGCAAATAGGAAAAAAAAAACAGTTTAAGATGGGAAGTAATTTTCAATACATCTCTTTTGTTTGTCTTAGAAATTATCACAATCAAAATTCCCTGTGCAATGTTATTACTATCGTCACCACAAAGCTACCAACTTCGTTGTGTACTTAGTTCGGATTTTCACATTAGAAGCCAAGAAACTGATAGTTAGAAGGCGTTTTACTGTTCGGCTTTTCACATCAGAAGCCTAGAAGTTAGTTCATTATGTTGCACATCAGGTCTTAAAGTAGATATCAGTGAGAAAGAATTTGAGTTTAAAAACAAGTTCTCTAACTTCTTCACAGCTTTGAAAGTAGTTGATAACTTGTTCATTTTATGTTTTGTTTTTCATTTTAGCACTAAGTATTTGCTCATTTGAGAAATGAGCATTTAACTATTTGCTCATTTGAGAAATGAGCATTTAAGTTTTGTTCATTTTGTTAAATTAGTAGCTAAGTATTTGCTCATTTGACATCAAGGATACCTATTTTGTTGAGCAGCACATCTGTTGAGACAAATTCTGCTGTTAATGTTGGTAAGCAAGATGCAGCAGGGGCGGGACAGTTAAGAGTTATTGGTGGTGACCAAGATGTAGCAGGGGCAGCACAGTTAAGAGTTGGTGGTGACCAAGATGCAGCAGGGGCATCACAGTTAGGAGTTGTTGGTTGTGACGAAGATGCGGCAGGGCCAGCACAATTAGGAGTTGTTGGTCGTTCTACACAGCCACAATATAAAGGAATGAGTTTCAAGACAGGATCTTCTAATGACAAAGGAAAAATGGTTTTAAAGGACACATTAAAGAAAGAAAAACAGATGATTAAGGTAGTGGAGATGAAATCCAGCAATGAATTGCAAGTTTTGAAGTCAGGTAATGAAGTGGAAGGTTTGAAGTCTTACATTCATGGGACATTGCATAGTCGGATGTCACCCTCATCCATTGTTCAAGTAATGGAATCAGTTTTACTTTCACAAAATCAGTTGAAAGCAGTTAGGGATATAGGATTTGGGTCGATGGAGTTTTTGAAGGTGACCCAACTGCCTTTGCGGTTGGGTTTATGGTTGGTGCAGCACTTTGATGCTAAGACGTGCTCATTAAATATTCCTGATTCTGATCTTTTCCGTATTACTGAAGACCATGTGCATGAAGTTCTTGGGTTGACAATAGGGGGCATAAAGATTGATAAAAATAATTTTTCCAGAAATAAAAAAGTCATTCAACAATGGAAAAAGCAATTCCAAAGCAACTCACTCTCTATCAAAATAGGGGAGCTTAAAGAGTTTTTGAAGGAGCATAAGTCAGCTGGTGCTATGTTCAAACGGAACTTTGTAGTTCTTTGTGTGTCTACACTGATGGATGGTAGTCTTCTTATTTTTATTATGCTCATTTTACTTTCAATTTGCTCATTTTCAATTTAGTTTGCTCATTTCTATTTTATTTTGCTCAGTTAAAATTCTATTTGCTCATTTCTCTTTTGTTTTGCTCATTTTTTTGTCAGGGAAATAAAACATGAATATTAATTCTGATATTCTTACATTTCTTTCTGATGTTGATAAAATCAAGGACTTGAATTGGTCAAAGTATATCCTTGATTCTCTCGTGAAGGGCAAGCTTTTATGGGAAGAACGTCCAACTCGTTTTTTTTCCTGGGTCTTTATTGTTTCTTATGGTATTACTATAATTTTTGTATATTTTTAATGTAGTATTTCTTACTTATTTGTTGATTTTTAATTTACTAATTTTTCTTTTCTTACTTGTTTGTAGTTATTATATGTTGATCAATTTGTACTTGAGGAAGTTCGAGCTACACGTGAAATTCCAATCTTGAAAGGGTGGACAACAGCTATGCTGTCAACACATGAGAAATTGGAACTCTTTAAAGGGAGGCTTGGAAATATTCATGCTAAAAAGCTTGATGCTGGTTCTTCTAGCATGACACAGCCTAAAATGGTGTTTAACTATAATTTTCTGTTTTATTTTTTTCCTTTTTATCCTACTTTTTTAACTTTTTTGTTTTTTATTTAGGAAAAATTCATTCCTTCTGAAGTGGAAACTCAAGTAGTTGCCAATAAGGTAACCATATATACTGTAATATTCTTTGTTCTTTTTGGAAATGACCAACTAACTTTTGCTCATTTGTCTAATGAGTAAGCAATTACTTGCTCATATTTGAAATGAGCAAATAATTTTTTACTCATTTGACAGATGAGCAAATTATGCAATTGGTTATGTGTTATAAGTAAGCTTGGTTTATATTTGTTAGGATATTTGGTTTCAACTTGTTCTAACTTTTTTTTTCTTTTTTTTTTTTGTTTTGTTTATGTTTGTCTTTAGGAACAATCTGATCCAATTCGTACAAAAAATGAAGAAAGTGAACAAGATCCAAAGAAGGTATTTATATGAGTTTTCTGGAAGCCAATATTAATTTTTTGTTTATTTTTAGAGTTCTTCTCAGTATGATGCATAGAGGCAAGTGGCCATATGTGTGCTTTTGCATTACTCATATGCATGTCATGAATATAGAAAAAGTATTTTATGTAAATGTTGGTCTTTGGTTACTGCAATCTTGTGAAACTCATATATGATAAATATGTGGATATTTCTTGTGAGCAGGAGCATTATAGTTCTTAATTTTTTGCTCATTTGTCAAATGAGCAATTAATTTTTTGCTCATTTGTCAAATGAGCAAAAACTTCAATGCTCATATAAAGTTCAATTTGCTCATTTTTATATGACTTTGCTCATTCCATATCCACTTTGCTTATTCCATATTTACTCTTCTCATTTATATTTATCTTATTTATGTATTTTTTTATTTATTTATTTTTTTTTACAGAAATGCCTTATGGAGCTTGCAACAGCATCTACAAACCTGGTCTTGGCATACATGTATTTCAGTCAAAAACATGAAATTGCCATCAAGTATTTTCCAAACAACGAGAAGATACAAAAGTTGAAGGAAGATGCCATGGGAATTTGTGATGAGCATAAGATGAGCTCCAAAACTTTGACTAAAGATAATACTCTTTCATTTAGCCAAGATGAAGAGTATTGGCAAGATCCAGCAGTAATTGAAGCTTGGGATAGGTTTTCTCATATTTCAAGCAACAAAAAGTATGCTGAATCTTCATTCAATGCAATGGTTGTTCATCCAAATGAATCGGAACCCATTGATGTTACTAAGATTGCTTCTGAAAGTGTTCAGATAGCAAGTTGTATCCCTGATGTTGGATGTTCAGATAGGGCTGCTAAAAATGTGTTCAAAAAAATTGGAGATTCAAGTTTCAAATCTGCTTCAGGACATTCACTTGCCAAAGGATCTGGAACTCCTACATTCAGTTTAGGAGTCTTTTCTCAAGAAACTAATTCTCCCCCTAGCAATGCGCCTACTGAACCTGTAGTTGCTTCTGTCAGTGCACAAGTTGGTGCTTCTGTTGCTGATGCTTCTCAAGCTGTTGGTGATGCTCTGATTGCTAATCCTCAAGATCTCATTTCTGATGCTCAAGAAGCTTTAATTGTGCATAAGAGAAAAGGTGATACTGAAAAGAAGAGTTCTATTCCAAAGAAACGCAAACCCCAGCCATCAGTGCTTCTTAGATCACCTTTTAAGTCCCGCATTATGATAATTTACAATCCATTATCACCAGTTCAGATGAGCGTCTTGAAGGCAATGTTTGCTGATGATAAAAATCGTTTGTAAGTATTTTTTTTATCTATAGAATTTATTATCTTGTACATTAACTTCCATTTGTTTTAGACATACTAACTTTCTTTATTCTTTTTATGCAGTGAACCAGTATTTAATGGACAGAATGGTCTTGAAATTTTGAGAGTACATCCTGAGAATCTTTATAATAAATATAAAGTTGATACAGAGATCATTAATGCTTGGTGTAGCATTCTGAATTATAATGAGCAGTTTAGAGATCCAAATTCTCCTGCTCGTTTCTTTTTTGACCTTAGTGCTACCGTAAGTTCAAATTCTTTCATTTATTTTGTTTTATTGAATTATTTTGTTTTTTTGTTGTAATTAATTTTTTTTTCTTTATCATGTAGGACTGTCTTATTCACTATGAGATAGATTCTGTTGCCCATCGGAATAAGATGTTTTTTGAGGTTGCTGAGAATTTGTACATGAAATCAGTTGTACCACACAAGGATATTCAGCTTTTTTTCTTCCCAGTTTATGAAGAAGATCATTACTATTTGGTATGTTTTAACACTACCACACTGAATGGTAATATCGAGCTTTTTGATTATAACAAAGATGCTGGAGATCATAAACAGCTTTTAAAACATTTGGTATGGCTTTAAAGTTAATCTCTATTCACATTATGTTTGTTTCTTTTACTTGAATGATTAGATTTTATTATGTTTGCTTATTTGATGTTTTTGTTTTCAGAGAACTACTTTTTCAAACTTTATTCAATGTGAAGGAAATGTACAGAGTTCTATTTTGGCAAATGATATCAAGCGGATGGAAATTTCTGTGATTAATGGTTCATGGAAGTCTTCGGATAAAAATCATTTGCATTGTGGAGTTGCAGTGATGAGACTCATGGAAACATACATGGGTTGTGCAAAGTGGGATCCTGGTTTGAAGAAAAATAATGTAAATTCTTTGCTCATTTGAGAAATGAGCAATTAACTTTTTGATTATTTGCTAAATGAGCAAGAAATTACTTGCTCATTTATCAAATGATCAAAGAAATGTTTGCTCATTTGACAAATGAGCAACTAATTCTTTGCTCATTTAAGAAATGAGCAATTAACTTTTTGATTATTTGCTAAATGAGCAAGAAATTACTTGCTCATTTATCAAATGAGCAAAGAAATGTTTGCTCATTTGACAAATGAGCAAGGATTCCTATCAAATGTTTACTTTAATTTTGAGGTCTATGGTCCATTAATCTAGCAATATCGTAGGCCATTACCTTACAAGTTACAACTGCAACTTGTGGTGTTACTTTTACATGTTTGCTCATGTTATTGAAATCTCCTTAATTGTATAGGGTTTGATTATGTTATTTGTTTTGCAGCTGATAATCTTGACTAAACTTCGTGAAAAGTACACCCTGGGAATAATTACAAGTGAAGTGAACACTATTCAATCTGTTAAAGAAATTGCTCAGAAGAAGAAAAAGCAAAGTAAAGTTTTTGTTGCTGACAAAGAAGAAAAGGCTGAAAAAGAAAAGCCTGAAGAAGAAAAAGTTCAAGGAAGAAAGAGCAAAAGACTGAAGAAAGCTGAATGTTAGGGAATTAAATAGTTAGTAGTGATGATTTGTCTTTTTTGGTTTAGGGAATTGGGTAAATTAAGATTTTATCTACTTTTAAGTAGTCTTTGAATGATGTAAAACTGATTTATAAACAGATTTTACCAATAGAAGCCTACCCTTTTTTACTATAGTGATGATTATATTTGAATTAAAATTCAATCTTTTTTTTGTTTTTACTTCACATACCTTGTTATATACAGCCGTTTTCATTTGAAATATTCGTTCATTTGTTAAATGAGCAAACAGATGTTTGCTCATTAAATGATAGATCAATGAATTCTTGCTCATTTAATAAATGTTCAAAGAATTTCTTGCTCATTTGATAAATGAATAAAGAAATGTTTGCTCATTTCACAAATGAGCAACTATTTTTGCTCATTTAAGAAATGAGCTTTTACCTTTTTTGATTATTTGCTAAGTGGGCAAGGAATTAATTGCTCATTTGATGATTGAGAAAAGATATGTTTGCTCATTTGACCCAAGGAGAGCTGATTTTGGATTGGGAGATGAAACAAGAGTGCAATTGTTCCAAGTTCATATAATAGCTAATTTGCTCACTTACCAAATGAGCAAATAATTATTTGCTCATTTGACAAAATGAGTAGTTAACTATTTGCTCATTTGATTAATGAGCAAGGAATTATTGCTCATTCGAGAAATGAACAAATATTTAGTCACTAATTTGAATATGTTCTATTTTCAATTCAACAATATTGCAAAGCATTAAACTATGATTAGTTCAAAATTAATAATATATTATTAAATATAAAAATTCAACAAAATCTTATATGTATATAAAAGTACCATTACACTTTTTTTGGACAATTTCTAATATCATGATGACTCAATTCACCACAACCTCTACATAATCTCTTCTTTTTTTGGTTTTTCTCTACAACCTTTTCTTTTTCTCCCTTAAGCCATTTTGCACTTCTACCTCTTGTTTCAACATTTGACACATCAATCTCAGTCGCTTTCTTTTTTGAAGTCTCTTCATTTGATACATGAACTCCAGTCCCTTTATTCTTTGAAACTTTTGGAGGTTTGAAAATTATTTCAGTTGGCACACTAGCTCCAATCAATAGCTCAATGTCTTGTTCTTTGTTTTTTGCACTTCCAGCTGTTGTTTCATTATTTCTTGCAATCCTCTTTGCTTCCAAATCCTTTCTTATTCCTTGAAGATTTATCACAAGGTCTTGAATATCTTCATCTTTGCCTTCTGCCAAACTTACACAAGTGTGTATCTCTGACCATAAATGATTTAACAATTTTTTCTTGTCTATTATATTAGCACATTGCTCCAACAGGTTTCCTCCCAAGTTAAAAATTGGTTTCTTTAATGCCATAGTAGTCCACCTGTGTAGCATATACTGCTCGGGAATGGTTTCAAACCTTTTTGCTTTCCAAACCCAAATCATATGTCTACATGGAATTCCTTGCCTATAAAATAGCTTGCAAGAACATGTGGTGTCATAGTTAGTTGGATTAAACACAATATCAAATGTTCTAGTCCGATTTCCTTCACTTACTGTTGCAACTTCCAATTCATTTTCTTTCTTCAATTCATCAACACCACAAGAAAAACAAGAAATTTCAAACTCGTATTGAAAATCATAAAAGACAGAGTTAGTATATAAATGTGAGGCATGCTTTTCTCTCCCTAGTGGTGTTTTGCACTCAGGATATTTGTACTTTGAATCATTATCATTCTGACCTTGAGTGTGTCTCTGGGCATCAATTGCAGCTTCATATCTCAAGTAAAACTCAACAAGTGACACATGAGGATTGATAAAGGAGCAGAAAAAGTTGTTTTCACTTTCGGATCTTGATGTTGTACGCATTATTCCTCCAAGGAACAAATCTCTGAAATAGGCCGGAATCCACTTGTCTCTTATCTTGTACATATAACCTAACCATTCATGTTGTTCCAAGTGGTATTCAATCATCACCTTGTTCCACCTTTCTTCAAACTCAGCAGGTTCAATTTCAAGGTGCCAAACGCAAGCACATAATTTTTTTAGGAAACCAGTTTCTTCTTGCATGATTGATTTCTCCACCTTATTTGGTAACTTTTTCATTATGTGCCACATACAGAACCGATGTTCAATCTTCTTAAACACACTTCTAATAGCAATTTTCATTGCTGGATCCTGATCTGTGATCATACAATTAGGTTCATTCTCACCCATTGCCTTGAGGAATGATCTGAACAGCCATTCAAATGACACGATATCTTCCTTTGTTATGAAACCAGCAGCAAAATTAATGCAATTCTTATGATGGTCAACGCCTATAAATGGAGTAAACACCATGTTGTACCTGTTTACACATACAAAATAAAGTTTAAATGAGCAAATAATTTAATACTCATTTGAAAAATTATCAAATAATCGATTGCTCATTTGTCAAATGAGCAAATAACTCAATGCTTATTTGTGAAATAAGCAAACAATTCTTTGCTCTTTTGTCAAATGTGCAAATAATTGAATGCTCATTTCTCATATGAGCAAATAACTCAATGCTCATTTGTGAAATGAGCAAACAATTCAATGCTCATTTGTCAAATGAGCAAATAATTCAATGCTCATTTGTCAAATGAACATGCAATTCAATGCCCATATACATACTCTTATCAAAGAATATTAGACTTATGGGGATATTCAATTTCCACATAGAAGTAATGAGCAATTAAACTAATTTTATTTAAAACAAAGTCATTAATTTCAGCCATAGCTAGTAATAACACATAAATGAATTACCTATTGGTTTGGTATGTGGTATCAAAGGGTACCATATCACCAAATAGAGCATAACTCTTTTTACAAAGGGGGTCTGCCCACAATGCTCTACAAAGGCAATAATCTTCATCCATCTCAAAATCAAAGAAAAAAGCGCTCCACATCAGCTTTTTGTTGGTAAAGTTATCCACGAACATTTGAGCATCGCTTCCTTGAATGTATGCTTATAAATCTCTATGAAAATTTTTGAAATCTTCCTTAGATGCACCAATGTTTTCATATCCTCCAACAATTTCCTTCATCATTCAAAAAGTTGTAACGGGACCAATATTCACCTATTTAAAGAACAAAACAGTTTGTCACATGAGCAAATAATTCAATGCTCATTTTTAAAATGAGCAAACAATTCAATGCTCATTTATCAAATGAGCAAACAGCTTTTATTAGAACATACAGAGAATTCATGAAACATAAGAGAATTTGAAACATAAGAGAATTCATGAAACAATTCAATGCTCATTTGGCAAATGAACAAAAAATTATTTGCTCATTTGTCAAATGAGCAAACAACTTTTATTAGAACATACATACAATTCATGAAACATAAGAGAATTTGAAAGTGTTACCTTAGAATTATTCACAATTATTTTTTTGTGTAAAATGTTCATTTTCCTTCCTTCTTTTTGGAATAGATTGCAGCTAGGTGTATAAAGTGCATGAGTATGTCCCTCATGAAATTTTGTCACTATGAATGTGTTATCATCACAATGCTTTAGGACAATATGTGCCTTGCACCCAACACGAGTAACGAGTCTCTTCCTTTTGATTGAAGATTTTTCTTCATTGTTTTCCCCTTCCTTGTTATTTAAATCTTTTTCTACAGTAGTCTTTCTTTTTTCTTTGTATCCTTCCTTATTGCACAAGATATACTGATATTTTAATTCTTTGCTTCTTCTTTGTCTTTTAGTTGTAGACTTCCTTGTATTGAAACCAGAAGCAAATGCATAGCCTTTATAAAATTCAAGGCCCTCTTCAAGATTATTAAACTTCATCCATATAGCTGGTTTCAACTCATTGGGGCATATTGGATGCCATTCTTTTGTTCCTCCAGGAGTGATCAAAGGTGCTACTTTAGGAGAAACTACTATTGTAGGAGTAGTTGGCACATTTGTGATGGTACTTGATTGACTCTCAACTTGTTCGTTGTTGCTCATCATTTGTGAATATGCACCTCCTTAAACACACTTAAACACACACATACACTCTTAATAATTAGAACTGAAATCAGATTCTTAAACAAACTTCACACACACAGACATAGATACACACTTACACACACACACACACATACACACACACACACACTCAATAATTTCATAATCTATAATTATAACTGAAATCAGTTTCTGAAATCAGAATTGCAAGCAGAAAGAGGAGGGGGCAGGGGGGGATAGGTTTGCTCATTTGTCAAATGAACATGCAATTCAATGCCCACATATATAAACTCTTACACTCAATCACACTTACACTCACACTCACACTCACACTCACACTCACACTCACACTCACACACAGACACACTGTTACACTCATTCACACACACACACACACTCTCTCTCACACACACACACACATACATACACAATTCTGTATACTTAGTGTTTTTACAAGCAATTATTTGCAAAACTTATAGATCCTTGAATTACTTATGAATGTCATTAATATTTGCTCATTTTAATTGTAGTTACCTCATTTTAAATGTTCATTATACATATTTAGGTTTGCTCATTTTAATTTATTTGCTCATTTTGAATTTGATTGAAAATAAGAACATAATAACAACAAAGTTCAATTTGCTCATTTTTATATGACTTTGCTCATTCCATATCCACTTTGCTCATTTCATATCCCCTTTGTTCTATTATACGTATTTAGGTTTGCTCATTTTAATTTATTTGCTCATTTTGAATTTGATTGAAAATAAGAACATAAATAATTGATTCAATCACTATAAAGTTTAATCTGATATTATTAAAATCTCTATCAAATTAATCAAACCTAAATAATTGATTCAATTCAACCAAATAATTGATGCAATTAAACATTCAATTCGATTAATGTAATTCGAAAATTAACATGTAATTCAATTCGAAAATTAACATGCAATTCCAAATTTTTCAGAGATGTAAAATCAAAATATATTGAATATTCAGATTAACATGCAATTCAAAATTAAAATTACGAACAAACCTCAATGGTGGATGAAATTGCGACCGTTGAAATTTGCAAAAAGAAACCGTTGAAAATTGCAGAAAGAAACCGCTGAAATTTGCCGAAAGAAGAGCATACTCAGTGAATCGCCATTGATAAGTAAATCGCCATTGATGAGCTTTAAATTGCAGACAGAATAGAGGAGAGAGATAAATTAGATGCTGAAAGTTAGCTTGTAGGCATGCTTATAATCTCAGCAGTTGGATTTCATCTAATCTAGCGGCTGAGATTTGTTCTCACATAAGGTGTGGGTTCTCACATAAAGGGTGGTTCTCACCGGATCCCGACCCTATATATATATATATATATATATATATATATATATATATATATATATATTTATGTCTTTTTAATATAAATGTAGCCATAGATAGCAACATAGATATTAATGTTACATTTTCAAACAATAGTTTTGTTATTGTTATCTTTTCATGCAACAATTATTATATGTGTTGTCTTAGACAAGAAAAAGGTAACATTTTAAGTGACTGTTGCCTTATATAGTCTAGAGCAACACTTTTTTTCTGTTACTTTAGTTCAAGGTAACAAATAAATATTGTTGCATTAGATTATTAAGAGTAACATTTCTGTAAGTGTTGCAATTTTAAGTGTTGCCTATTGTTATTTTTTTTTGTAGTGATAGAGAACCCCCACTACAAGTGCAAGACATGACAGTTAAAGAAATGTGGGATAAAAATGTGGGTTGGAAGCTGGAACTTTTCTCTGATTACCTCTCTGAGAGTGTATTGGGAGAAATCGATGCACACTCTGTTATAGATGATGAGGAAACGGTGGATGAAATCTACTGCAAAGGGTCACCAACAGAGGGCTTCACAATAAAATCAGTTATTGCTATTATTCGAGATGCTGAGAATGAGTTGAATGCTGTGAGTGGCTTTCAAGGGTGGAAACTAGTATGGAGACTCCCAGTTCCTCAGAGGATACGGTTCTTTTTCTGGCTAGCTACCCAGGACAGGTTAATGACAAACAAAAATCGTTTTGTGCGTAACTTAACTGAGGACCCTCGATGCTTAGCCTGTGGTTCAAATGATGAAGACACAGAACATATTATGCACTTGTTCCCAACGGCCAGGTTCGTTTGGCAAAAGCTGGGAGTTCGAGAAAGTCAAGAGGATGCTGAGATCCCTTTTGCGAATTGGATTTTGCTGAACATTGCAGATGGAGATGCAAAGAGGGGTGAAGAGTGGCCGAGAGTCTTTGCAGTAACATGTTGGTGGCTGTGGAGGTGGCGCAACGAGAGAGCCTTTAACCCTGAACCGAGCATACCAATTGACCAAGTGAGCTTTATTTTCGCAAGGGTGGGTTTGATTAAACAGGCTATGGAAAGCAAAGCTTTGGTAGTACAAGAGAAAGGAAAGCGTAAGAGGGAAGTAGCTTATATTCGGTGGGTAGCTCCGAAAGTTGGGTGGGTTAAATTGAATACGGATGGGGCTTCGAAGGGTAATCCGGGGTCAGCTGGAGCAGGAGGTATAATCAGGGGCTGTAGTGGTGAAGTGTTTGAATGCTATGCTATTAATTGTGGCATTTGCACCTGTACGAAAGCTGAGTTGATGGGGGTGATGAAGGGATTAATGGTTGCGTGGGATGGTGGCCATAGACAAGTTCACCTATCTATTGATTCAGAGGTTGTTGCTAGGATTTTGGTTGATGATGAACCGGATAATTCCCCCTATATTCATATCATTCGCAAGTGCAAAGCCCTGATTTCTAACCGAGATTGGGAAGTTGTCATTTCACATTGTTTTCGTGAAGCTAATCGTGCGGCGGATTGGCTAGCAAATTATGGTGTAAATGCAACGCAAAAATTCATCCTCTTTGAAGCGGTCCCGAGGGATCTTAGAACCGTTTTATTGGAGGATTTGGGGGGTGTTGCTTTGCCTCGTATGGTTCCGAGTAATAAGGTTGCTTAGTTGTTCCCTTATGGCATTGTGTTAGCATTTTTTTTGGTTTCTTGTTTTGTTTTCTTTTCTGCTTTGGTTGTTTTTTCTAGTTTGTTTGTTTTTCTTCTAGGGCTTGCCCCTCTCCTTCACCAAAAAAAAAAATGAAATATCAATACGTATTATGACATTTTTTTTTCAAGTACAGTAAAAGTGAATGGATAATTATGTCCTTGAATCCAAGCATTTAAATCTTTGTAATGGTAATGAAAAATAAAAATAAAATAGTGATGGACAAAGTACAATATAGATGTAGCCTTTTTACTTGATTCATATCGTCACAGTATTTAGGGGTAAAAGCAAAATATCCAAAATATAGATTGATGCTAAATTTGAGTTTTGAGTTTTTAATTTGAGTTTTGAGTTTTTGACCCCTCTCTCTCATTACACAAATAAGACAAACCCCGTCAATCTTCCGTCTACAAATTCGTCAAAACCCGCAGAAAACTCAACAGCAATATAGGCCCCACTCACCCCGACTACCCCTCTATCCTTCCCTGCTCTTCTCTGCATGCAATTGCAATCTGCTCTCTCCTCTCTCTTCTCTCCACTTGAATACTATAGTTTTCACTTTCATTTCTTTATTTACTTATTTCCATTACTTAATTTTATTCTTAGACCCTTCCATTCTTATATATAAACCTATTCCAGTACAATCATTCACCTCCTCCTATCTACAAACTCAACAGAATATATCCCATCTATCATCTTTTCTTAATTTTACATGCAAACTTAACTTCAATTTCAATTTCAATGTCATCTTCAAATTTCACCATTTTTCTTCTCCTTATTATTATTCTCTTTCAATCACTTACTATTTTTAGCAATGCTACTTCTGATTCCGATATCTTACTCAAACTCAAACATTCGTTCTTAGTCTCAGACAACAACAACAGCGGCAGCCTCCGTGACTGGACCTCTGGTAATGCGCACTGTAACTTTACCGGTGTTTCCTGCGACGCCGACTCTCGTGTCGTCTCGCTTAACGTCAGTTTTGTGCCTCTTTTCGGATCGCTGTCGTCGGAGATTGGCTCGCTTGATAAGTTACAAACTCTCATTGTTTCCGGGTGTAATCTCACCGGAGAAATACCCTTTGAAGTTTCATCTCTTACTTCTCTTAGATACCTCAATATCTCAAATAATAATTTTTCCGGCGAAGTTTCCGGCGAGATTTTCACCAACTTGTCGGTGCTTGAGTTTATTGATGTTTATAATAATAACTTATCTGGGCCGCTTCCGGTCAAGCTCTCGGGTTTGAAGCGGCTGATACACCTTGATCTTGGTGGGAATTACTTCTCCGGCGAGATTCCGGCGAGTTATTCTGAGCTAACAACCATTAAGTATCTCGGGTTAAACGGAAACTCTCTCTCCGGTGAGATTCCGGGGAGTTTGGGTAATCTGACAAATTTAACTAAGCTCTGCATAGGCTACTTTAACTCGTATACCGGCGGAATTCCGCCGGAGTTCGGGTCGTTAACCTCGCTTGAATACCTCGACGTAGCGGGCTGTAACCTCTCCGGCGAAATTCCGAAAACGCTGGGAAATTTAAAGAAGCTTAACACTCTGTTTTTACAGAAGAATCAGTTATCCGGCGAGCTACCTCCCGAGCTCTCGAAACTCGAGAGCTTGATGTCATTAGATTTATCTACAAATTCAATCACCGGAGAAATACCGGAGAGTTTCTCCGACCTCAAGAACCTCACATTTCTCAGCCTGTTTCAGAACAAATTCTACGGCAGAATTCCGTCTGGTATAGGCGACTTGCCGTACCTTGAGAAGTTGCAAGTGTGGAATAATAACTTTACTTTTGAATTGCCGCAGAATCTCGGCAAAAATGGGCGGTTAAAGACGCTTGACATTTCGGCGAATCGAATAACCGGGAATATTCCTAAGAGTCTCTGCAATGGTGGTATTTTACAGTTGTTGATTCTGTTTAATAACGCGCTCTTTGGTCCGCTCCCTAAAGAGCTCGGTGATTGTAAGTCGTTGCAGCGGCTTCGTATCTCGAACAATCAGCTCTCAGGGGAGATTCCTGCTGGTATATTTAACTTGCCGGGATTGACCACTGTTGATCTTAATGATAATGAGTTTTCCGGCGAGATTCCGGCGGAAATGACTGGTGGTAATATCGGTGAGCTTGACTTGTTTAATAACATGTTCACCGGGAAAATACCGCCGGCAATCGGAAACTTGAAGATGCTTCACAGGCTATCTTTGCAGAATAATCGATTTTCCGGCGAGATTCCGGCGGAATTGTTTGGCTTGAGTCAGTTGCAGGGGTTGAATGTGAGTGCTAACAATCTTGAAGGTGAAATTCCGGTGGAAATTGGACGGTGTAAGTCATTGATCGCGGTTGATTTCAGCCAAAACAATCTCGCCGGGGAGATTCCGACGTCGATTTCAGAGTTAGAGGACCTTGGCATTCTCAATCTGTCTAAGAATTCTCTCACCGGATTTATCCCCGAAGATATCGGCTCGATTTCGAGTCTCTCTGTTCTTGACCTCTCCGACAACAATTTCTATGGTACAATACCCTCCGGAGGTCATTTCTCCGTCTTCAAACCGACGGCTTTTGCTGGGAACCCGAACTTGTGTTGGCCTCACAGAGCTCTACCTTGTCCTATCTATAACCCGCCTTCGAAAAAACACCATACGTCGTCGTTTTCATCATCCAAGTTGATCATCTTAACCATAGGACTAGTCACTTTAGTCCTCTTATCATTAGTGACTCTAAGCATTTACAAGAAGAAGAGTCTAGAAGGTTCTAAAGCGTGGAAGGTTGAACGGTTCCAACGCCTCGACTTCAAGGCCGATGACATTGTTGAATGCCTCAAAGAAGAGAATGTCATAGGAAAGGGTGGAGCCGGAATTGTGTACCGAGGTGTGATCCCGGATGGCACCGATATTGCAATTAAACGGTTGGCCAACCGGGGGAGTGCCAAGAATGATCTTGGCTTCTCAGCCGAGATATCTACCTTGGGGAAGATTAGACATCGTAACATAGTAAGATTGTTGGGGTATGTAGCGAACAAGGATACAAACTTGCTAGTGTACGAGTACATGCCGAATGGGAGCTTAGGAGAGAAGCTTCACGGACCGAAAGGAGCGCATTTGCAATGGGAGATGAGGTATAAGATAGCAGTGGAAGCAGCAAAGGGGTTGTGCTACTTGCACCATGATTGTAACCCCAAGATATTTCATAGGGATGTCAAGAGTAATAATATACTCTTGGACTCTGATTATGAGGCTCATGTTGCTGATTTCGGGCTTGCTAAGTTTCTCTGGGATGCTGGTGCTTCCGAGTGCATGTCTTCTATTGCCGGTTCTTACGGCTACATTGCTCCAGGTAAAACTCTTTTGGAACACTTCTTTTCGTTTTTAATTGCATTTATCTACTGTAATTTAGCTCCTGTGTTGCCTATGTATATTGGTTTTTATTGTTGCATTGTTAGAATTACTTGTTTATTAAAAGTATTGAAAATTAGGAAATCATGGCTTGGTTAGTATTGAAGTGTGTGTATTAAGGCCTTAACTCTTTAAGGGTTATGGCCTAATAGCCAGTGCATCTGATGTGGAGTGTATGTGTCGAATCCAATCAGATATCAACCATTAAAATTCTAATTACTATCTCTTATCGACTCATCATAGATTAATTGCCAGAAATCTCATTTTTAGAGGTTGTGAGTTGCCAATTGTGACTAGTGATAGAATTGCACTGATGTGGACATGTGGTTCATCACACTCCTATTGTATAAGAAAATCTCAATTTAAGCTGGCTATAATAGGCAAAATTGCAAAAATGTTTGAATGTTTTGTGGAATCGGCCAAGTAGTAATTTTGTTGCCCCAAAAATGTTGCCTGGCTCTGGACTATGGTGGTTTTATAATTTTCTATCAAAAGAGTTTAAGTCAGTTGGATTTTGGACTAGTCCTGCTGAATTTTTGATCCATAGAAAAAAACCTGGCAAATTCTAGTTCATGGCAAGTTTGGTATACTCTACCTCCCTCTCTTGATACCTTGTACTCAATAAACTTGAGACTGAACAAGAATATAACCTATCTTATATTTAGTTTGTTGGTCTCAACTATTTAGCCAAAATAGTTTATGAAATCTAAGCTTTGGAACTTTACTTCATACTTTGTAGTTATGAAAAAGAATTTATCTACATAAATAACCTGCCTTTGTCGCCTTTACCTGTGATACTCGCTTGAAGTACTGAACCATCCCAGTTTTTGTTTCAATTTAGATTAAAATGCATCAATGATTATAGTACTTAATTCAAGGCTGGTGATTTGAGTATGTTTAATTGTGCACCACAATTGTTGGGATGAACAGAAAAAGAAAATGCCTGTATGGCAATATGCAACTAATGTTGACCTAATATGATTATGCTCTTTTTCATGAACAGAATATGCCTACACACTGAAGGTAGACGAGAAAAGTGATGTGTACAGCTTCGGAGTAGTGCTGTTAGAGCTAATAGCAGGACGAAAACCAGTGGGAGAATTTGGTGACGGAGTGGACATAGTAAGATGGGTGAGGATGAATGAATCTGAGATCTCTCAGCCATCAGATGCAGCAACAGTCTTAGCTATCCTCGACTCTAGGCTACACGATTACCAGCTTTCTAGTGTTATCAACATGTTCAAGGTTGCAATGTTGTGCGTTGAGGAAGAGAGCTCTAACAGGCCTACTATGAGAGAAGTTGTTCATATGCTCACTAATCCTCCTCAGCGTATCGTCTCTACTCCCAGCCTTCTTTGATTACGAGTACAATGTTTGAGCATTTCCAGATTTTTGGGGTCTGTTGTCTATCATGGTAATAGCTAATTCTTGAGTAAATAAAAGCACATATATAATTGTACTAATAATCTGTTCCTACCAGCAACCAAAATTGAGTTTCTTGTGCTGAAAAAAGAAGGGCTATATGACCTAATGCCTATGTAGAAGAATGGTTGTCCTAAAAAAAATGTAGAAGAATGGTTCATTCTAGATTTTGTATGTAATATACTGATTATTAGTAATGCCCAGTAAGTTGTATATAAATATTTGTGGATGATTTCATTACTATAATTAAATGCCCAGTAAGTATTTTTCTTTATGTATTGAGATATTATCGTATAATTAGGAAGATTTGGTTGAATATTTCCATATACTTATCTTCTATATTTTAGTTAATTTCCTAAGATATCTTTGTAACTCTATATATTCCCATGGAGGATTAATGAGAAGGCAAGCAATTCTACTCTAATTATTTTCTATTCCTCTCTAATTTATCATGGTATCAAGAGCGGGTTTAATTTAAGCCATTTTTTAATCAACGATGGCCGGTGATGATGTACCACCGCCACCACCACCTCCAACTAAAATCGAACCCAATTCCCCATATTATCTTGGCCCTCAAGATCGCCCTGGCGATTACATTACACCCACTCGGCTTAAGGGAGACAACTATGACGAGTGGGCGGCTGACATACAGACGGCTCTGGAGGCTCGGAGAAAATTCGAGTTCCTTGATGGATCGATTACAGAGCCAAAACCACCATGTACTAAGTCCGATTGGACAGCTCTCAATGCAATGTTGATTTCGTGGGTGTCTAACACCATCAATCCAGAGGTTAAATCCTCTATTTCAAAATTCAGAGAAATTAAACCCTTTTGGGATCATCTCAAGAAGCGCTACGCTCAAACCAATGGGCCTCGTATCCAGCAATTACGAGCATCCCTAGCCAAGTGCGAACAAACCAAGTCGATGCCGGTCTCGGTCTATTATGGCAAATTACACGCAATTTGGCAGGAGCTGGATCACCACGAGCCCTTGATATCCTGTTCGTGTTGCTCTTCCTGTACAGCAGGGAGCCTTCATGAGCAACGAAGAGAACAATCTCGCTTGCATGATTTTTTAATGGGCTTGTATTCTGATTTTTATTCTTCTTTTCGGACTAATATTTTGTCACAGGAACCATTGCCGAGCCTTGACAGAGCATATCAGCTCGTGGTGCAGGACGAGCGTGTCCGTACTGCTCGATAGGAGGCTGCGTCTGCTCCCACAGACGCTCTTGGTTTTGCAGTTAAGGCCAGCCCTGGCAGTGGGCGTGGCGTCTCTGATCGCTCCTGTTCTCACTGTAAGAAGACGGGGCACGATTTGTCAAGTTGTTGGTTCAAATCGCCGTGTCCTCACTGCAACAAAAAGGGGCATGACCCTCGTTATTGCTATGAGGTTACAGGTTATCCTCCGGGGTGGACTTCTCGGCCACGTGACAAACCTGCTGGCCAAGGAAGAGGAGGGCCGAGAGCAAATGCTGCCACAGCAGGGGGTGAAAATACTCCTCTAGGGTCGGCTTTCACAACGGAGCAATGGAAGGCCCTTTCGGGTTTTATTGGTAACACTAATATTCCTGAAAATCACCTTCATGGTAAGTTTGATGATTCTTGTTGGATTATTGATACCGGAGCAACTCATCATGTTACCGGACATCAATCTTGGTTGTTTAACACTCGTTATATTGAATGTCCCGTTGGTTTACCAAATGGTGAAAGTGTGCTTGCTACGTCGGAAGGATCGGTTAAATTATCCGACCAAATTACTATTTATGGAGTTCTTTTTGTACCTCATCTTAATTGCAATTTACTTTCCGTTACTCAACTCAGTGATCAATTAAATGTTGTTGTCCAATTTAATTCTTATATGTGTGCTATACAGGACCAACTGAAGCAGCTGATTGGAACGGGAATTAGGCGAGACGGACTGTATTATTTCTTTGGCAAAACGGATGTGGTGCAACGTGTGTCAGTGGTGGAGGCGACGTCAGATTTGGTGCTTTGGCATAGAAGAATGGGGCATCCTTTGGAGAAAGTAGTTAAGTTACTTCCGCATATTAGCAATAATAAGAGTAGTTTAAATAACAGTTGTGAAGTATGTTTTCGTGCTAAACACTCTAGAGACACTTTTCCTTTGAGTGAAAATAAGACTTCTAGAATTTTTGAGAAAATACATTGTGATTTATGGGGTCCATATAGACATGTGTCGTCGTGTGGGGCTCGTTATTTTTTGACTATTGTTGATGATTATTCAAGGGCTGTTTGGATTTATTTATTGATTGATAAAACCGAAGTTTTTCAGATGTTTATGACCTTTGTTGCTATGGTGGAAAGGCAATTTAATCAAACAATTAAAATTGTTCAAAGTGATAATGAGACCGAATTTAATTGCTTGAATGATTTTTTTGTTGCTACTGGCATAATTTTCCAAACCTCTTGTGTGGGAACCCCTCAACAAAACGGAAGAGTGGAACGAAAACACAAACATATTCTTAATGTTGGGAGGGCCCTGAGATTCCAAGCTAAATTGGCTATTTATTTTTGGGGTGAATGTGTTTTAGCCGCTGCACACTTAATAAACCGAACTCCAACACCTCTTCTCCAAAATAAAACTCCATTCGAAATCCTTTTCAATAAAACCCCTTCTTTTGATGCTATTCGTACCTTCGGTTGTTTGTGTTTTGCCCATAATCAAAAGACTAAGGGCGATAAGTTTGCTAGTCGGACTCGCAAGTGTGTGTTTTTGGGTTATCCTTTTGGGAAGAAGGGGTGGAGGTTGTATGATCTTGAAACAAAAGAATTTTTGGTGTCTCGAGATGTTAAATTTGTGGAAAATATTTTTCCTTTTGCTTGTCCGAATGATGTGAATATTGACTTGGGATTGCATGAAGTTTCGGATGCTATACACTTTGATTTTGCGGATTTTGATACAAGTAATGCTTGTGATGTTTTTGGGTATAATAATGGGGAGGTACCCACGACAGGGGGGGCCCTTGAAGAACCCCAGCCAACTGCCGCAGGCACCCCGCACCACCAGCAGCATTCCAGCACTGTTGTACCCGCTGGAAATGCTGCGGGTGATGGGTTGTCCTCGCCTTCACAGCACTCCAGCACTGCCACTTCTTCTGGACAGGCTGCGGGTGATGGGGGAGGGCAGCCTCTGCCGCATAACAGCAGCGCCGACACTCTGCAGCAGCCCACTGACCCCACTAGCACCACACCGTCCGTACAGGAGCCTGCTATGGGGCGCGGATTTCGGGATAAAATCCCGCCTGTTTTGCTCCGTGATTATGTTACTCACTCTGTTTTTGCCAAAAGTCCATCTCCGTCCTCCAATCAGTCTTCAGGTACTCCGTATCCTTTAGCACATTATATACATTGTGACAATTTTTCTATGAGTTATCGGAAGTTTATTTCAGCTGTTGCTCATACCAAGGATCCAACAAGTTTCAAAGAAGCTATGCAATCTGAAGGATGGCGTAAGTCTATGAATGAAGAAATTCGGGCCTTGGAGAATAATGGTACGTGGACTTTGGAGCCTCTTCCCCCGGGTAAAAAGGCTCTAGGCAGTCAATGGGTCTATAAGACCAAGTTTCTTTCTAATGGAGAGGTGGAACGCCTCAAATCTCGTTTGGTGGTTTTTGGGAATCATCAGAAAGCAGGTGTAGATTATGATGAAACTTTTGCTCCGGTAGCTAAAATGACAACGGTTCGCACTGTACTTGCCATTGCAGCCGCAAAGAATTGGGAAATTCATCAAATGGATGTTCACAATGCTTTTCTTCATGGTGATTTGGATGGAGAAGTCTACATGAAGCTCCCTCCCGGTTTTCAGAATTCGGATCCTACTTTGGTTTGCAGATTGCGAAAGTCACTCTATGGTTTGAAGCAAGCTCCTAGATGTTGGTTTGCCAAACTTACCACAGCCTTAAAACAGTATGGTTTCAAACAATCTTACTCTGATTATTCTTTATTCACTCATACTACTCGAGATACTCAGATTACAGTTTTAGTGTATGTCGATGATTTGATTATTTCTGGGAATGATTCCGCTGCATTGACTGTTTTTAAGGCCTATTTGAGTGACTGTTTTAAGATGAAGGATCTTGGTCCTTTGAAATATTTTTTGGGGATTGAAGTGGCACGTAGCTCTGCAGGTTTATTTTTATGTCAGCGCAAATATACTCTGGATATTATTTCTGAGACAGGTTTATTAGGAGCAAAGCCTAGTGGTTTTCCAATGGAGCAAAACCACAGATTGGGATTAGCCACAGGTGCTTTTCTCACTGATCCAGAATCTTACAGACGTCTTGTTGGTCGTCTGATCTATCTTACTGTTACACGCCCTGACTTGGCGTATTCGGTTCATATTCTGTCTCAGTTTATGCAGCAACCTCGTAGTGAACACTGGGATGCAGCTATGAGGGTGGTTCGATATCTGAAAGGGACTCCCGGACAAGGTATTTTATTGAGCTCTGATTGTGACTTAAATCTGCAGGGTTGGTGTGATTCAGATTGGGCTGCTTGCCCTCTGACTCGACGATCTCTCTCTGGTTGGCTTGTTTTTCTTGGAAAATCTCCAATTTCATGGAAAACTAAAAAGCAACCAACTGTTTCTTTCTCTTCTTCTGAGGCCGAGTATAGGTCCATGTCTTCATGTTCTAAAGAGCTAAAATGGGTGAAGGGCTTACTGTTCAGTCTTGGAGTACAACATCCAAAGGCAATTAAATTATTTTGTGATAATGAAGCAGCTCTGCATATCGCAAAGAATCCTGTTTTTCATGAACGAACAAAGCACATTGAGATTGATTGTCACTTTGTTCGTGATGCTATTACTGACGGATGGTTGTCTACATCTCATGTTTCGACTTCTTCACAGCTTGCTGATATTTTTACAAAGGCTCTTGGGAAAACACAATTTGATAATCTTCTGTCCAAGTTGGGCACTTTTGATCCCCATTCTCCAACTTGAGGGGGGGTATTGAGATATTATCGTATAATTAGGAAGATTTGGTTGAATATTTCCATATACTTATCTTCTATATTTTAGTTAATTTCCTAAGATATCTTTGTAACTCTATATATTCCCATGGAGGATTAATGAGAAGGCAAGCAATTCTACTCTAATTATTTTCTATTCCTCTCTAATTTATCATTATGATTATAATATGGGTTAATAAAGGGCGTGTCTGTTTTACGTATGTGATAAAAGGTATCTCTCTTCCTACTTGATTTATCATACTATGTATATTAAATACGTAGTATATTATTATTATTATT